CGGGGTGTCTTTGTTGTCTCCCTGTGGGGGGGGGGGGGGGTCATCAGTAGCTGGGAGGTGGACTGTGTTATGGGAGATAACAATCGCCGTCCTATATGTGCGTTTGAGGACACATCGAGGTCACGTGATGCCTGGCGGTACTGTACTCCCCTAAGATGATACAGGACTCGGGCTCGCGTCCTCATCCATCCACATGGGGCTCAGAAAAGTGATACCAGAGTGATGGGAGAGGATGCAAACCCAATCCAAGAACTGTCTATGCCGCTCAGCCTAGGCAATGGGTGTTTTGGGTGGACATGCACTTTAAGGATGTCTGTCTATCTATCTATCTATCTATCTATCTATCTATCTATCTATCTATCTATGTGAACTTGTGAACAGAGTCATATGGGAAGCCAGTTCTCGGCTGAGCAATCCCATGACACAAAAGCCCCAACAGAGTCATTACGTAATAAAAGGAGCACTCCGTCTACTCCGAGTCCTGAGTCTGAGGAGCGTTTTATCTTTCCCTGCACACATCAACACTTCCCAAATGTCACCATTAAGATTCTGTGTCCGTCTTGGCCGCGGCCCGTGTTTGCTCTCAGTGTGTGGAGTATTGTGCCGGATGTATGACTGACTCGTACTACTGGAAAATCCACTGAGCCTCAGATGTGAGCGCAGAATTAGACTAAAACCTTCCGTCAACAGCCTGGTGTGTGTTATTGTGTCTTCGTGTCACAGAGGAGACTGCTGACCTCACCTTCTATAAATGTAAAACTAGAAGAGAGGAATTCCGCTCATCCGATAAAAGATACAAATAATCTAAAACATCTAAGAAGTGCAAGAGACTAGAGAGCGGTGACATCACTGAGAATGCAGCCTATCCATTCACTATAGACCGGTGACATCACTGAGAATGCAGCCTATCCATTCACTAGAGACCGGTGACATCACTGAGAATGCAGCTTATCCATTCACTAGGGCCCGAGACATCACTGAGAATGCAGCCTATCCATTCACTAGAGACCGGTGACATCACTGAGAATGCAGCCTATCCATTCACTAGAGACCGGTGACATCACTGAGAATGCAGCTTATCCATTCACTAGGGCCCGAGACATAGTTACATAGTTACATAGTATTTGAGGTTGAATAAAGACATTAGTCCATCAAGTCCAACCTATTAGGATCTCATTCTAGGAGTACCCGTACCCCTGTATATTACGGTCCCTTAAGAAATCGTCCAAAAGTTTCTTGAACAATTCCACATTATTTGCTGAAATCACCGCCTGTGGCAGTGAGTTCCAGACCCTAACTGATCTTACTGTGAAGAACCCCCTTCGCACCTTGTGCTGGAATTTTTTTTCCACCAATTTTAGGTTATGGCCTCTAGTTTTTGTAACGGAGTTAATTTTAAACAGTTTATCGCTAATGTTGCTACCACCATTAAACATTTTGTACATGGAAATCATATCCCCCCTTAATCTCCTCACCTCTAATGTGAACATGTTTAAATTTAGTAGCCTCGTCTCGTAGCTCTGGTCCTCCATACCCCTAATTAGTTTGGTTGCCCTTCGCTGGACTTTTTCCAACTCAAGGACATCTTTTCTTAGTACTGGTGACCAGAACTGGACCGCGTACTCCAGATGAGGTCGAACCAATGATCTATAAAGTGGCAAAATTATAGACTTGTCCCTGCAATACATCCCCTTTTTAATACAGGACAAGACCCTGCTAGCTTTGTTTACAGCAGCCTGGCACTGCAAACTACCTTTCAGTTTGTGGTCTACAATGACCCCCAAATCCTTCTCCATTTTGACCAATGACATCACTGAGAATGCAGCCTATCCAATCACTAGAGACCGGTGACATCAGTGAGAATGCAGCCTATCCATTCACTAGAGACCGGTGACATCACTGAGAATGCAGCCTATCCAGTCACTAGAGACCGGTGACATCACTGAGAATACAGCCTATCCATTCACTAGAGACCAGTATTACAATAAGGTGTAAAAAGCGATACAGTAAAGGTCACTTACCTGAATTTGGAGACTGGCGTTAGGCGGGGCACTTTGCAATCCACCATTTTGGTTAAGGGTGATCACCACCTCTTGGTTTTCTGGAACGCCAGACTGGACAGGCTCCTCAAACTGCACCTTCTTCTCTGTTTTGAACAGCTTGTGGAAGATGCTGACCTCCCTGGGCTTTGGAGGTGCACTGTCAACCTCATCATTATTAGTCAGTGATAGAGACGCCCCATCTGTCGTCAGCACAGTGGGTGGGGGTGTCACGCTGGACTTCACAATGACAGGAGCATTGTTTTGGGTTTGGACCAACGCTGGTTCTTCCACTCTGACCCCTGACTGTAGACCACCATTTTCTGGGCCATTGGGTTGAAAAGCAGTGAGGCCCGGGGCAGGACGGGAAATGGTCATACTAAACTTGGACTTGGCTTGTGGAGCCGGCGGCTTGGCATCGGTGCCATTGGGGATTGGACTTATGATAATGGTCTTCTGGGAAGATGAGATGACATTTTCCTGCCGGATGGTTGCTTTGGACTTCTCTGCAGATACAAGAAGATTACATTTACTAAACAAGGAGAAAACTTGATAAACGCTCATCGAAAACCTCATAATATTTACAGAGAGAGTGTTCATTCCGATGTTTAACACGACCATTTTAAAGTGTATTACAGCCCAAACCTTTCTTTTTCATATTGGGTAGAGTAGAAAAGGGTCAGTTTTTGCTGGTTGGGGAGATATCCCTGTACTTCCTGTTCCAGAGAACCAAGTCAGACCTACACTAAGTAACAGGAAATCTCTACAACGAGAGGGGAATTTCCCTCTTAGACAGTTGTCACCAACACAGAGGTCACATTTAAAAGATTAATTCTGATGTCAACTCTAAACGTTTGGATTTGCCATTACGTTGTGTCCCGGTGACAATGGCCAACAGGTCAAATAGAGAGGAGGAACGCCCCTAACGAAGACATAGACAGCAATATAAGCTTGGCAGAGGTCCCAATCCTTCTCTACTCCATCCAATACATTCACTCTAAGAGTAAAGCCATTGGGTCAGTGCTTTAGGCACCAAGGAGGGCACATTTTTGTTACTGCTCAGTGACTACCAGCTGAGGCCAACTGAATGGTTGGCCTCAGTCTTCATTAAAGGCTGAACCTGCTCCCTAGGGAAGACCTACTGACATACCTGGGACCAAAGGCTTTGATGGACATCTTTGAAAGGCTGGCCTTCTGGTTGATTTCATTACTTATGTTCAGGTTGGCCATCATGCTTTTTTAGGATAATAGACTTTACACCAGACACCACCAGACTGTCTCCAAGTTATGACCCCCAACTGTTATATGGTAGAAGACTTAATATTAAATCTATGAAAGTTCTCTCTATGGATGGCACAGAAGACGTTTCAGAAGAAGGAACGTCTATGAAGGTTCTCTCTATGGATGGCACAGAAGACTTTTTAGAAGAAGGAACTTCTATGACGGTCCTCTCTATGGATGGCACAGAAGACCTTTCAGAAGAAGGAATTTCTATGAAGGTTCTCTCTATGGATGGCACAGAAGACATTTCAGAAGAAGGAACTTCTATGAAGGCTCTCTCTATGGATGGCACAGAAGACATTTCAGAAGAAGGAACTTCTATGAAGGTTCTCTCTATGGAGGGCACAGAAAGACTTTTCAGAAGAAGTCATTTCTATGAAGGTTTTCTCTATGGATGGCACAGAAGACGTTTCAGAAGAAGGAACTTCTATGAAGGTTCTCTCTATGGATGGCACAGAAGACGTTTCAGAAGAAGGAATTTCTATGAAGGTTCTCTCTATGGATGGCACAGAAGACATTTCAGAAGAAGGAACTTCTATGAAGGCTCTCTCTATGGATGGCACAGAAGACATTTCAGAAGAAGGAACTTCTATTAAAGCTCTCTCTATGGATGGCACAGAAGACATTTCAGAAGAAGGAGCTTCTATTAAAGCTCTCTCTATGGATGGCACAGAAGACGTTTCAGAAGAAGGAACTTCCATTAAGGTTCTCTCTATGGATGGCACAGAAGACGTTTCAGAAGAAGGAACTTCTATGAAGGTTCTCTCTATGGAGGGCACATAAAGACTTTTCAGAAGAAGTCATTTCTATGAAGGTTTTCTCTATGGATGGCTCATAAGACAATTCAGAAGAAGGAACTTCTATGAAGGTTCTCTCTATGGATGGCACAGAAGAAGGAACTTCCATGAAGGTTCTCTCTATGGATGGCACAGAAGACGTTTCAGAAGAAGGAACTTCTATTAAAGCTCTCTCTATGGATGGCACAGAAGACGTTTCAGAAGAAGGAACTTCTACAAAGGTTCTCTGTATGGATGGCACAGAAGTAGTAGCACTGGAATTATATAGTATGTTGTCCCATTTCAGGCTTATTCATGAAGGAGGGTACTACCAGCAATTGTATAGGTTTAGATAAAATGATAGCTTCCAAGATGAAAATAAGAAAGACTTAGAAGAAAGGGCCCCCAAGTCACTTTAATATATGAGCCCATTCATTGAAATCCCATTATGTAGTTCCAAAAGTTGTTTTCCAACTTTTTAAATTGGCTGCTATACTTAAAATAATACCTGGTGATCCTGCCATGAAGGTCCACGTTGAGGCACTTCCTGCTATGGGTGACAACCATCTCTTTAAGTGTGCTCCTGCATTGTCATCCTGTCATTTGCACCCACGGAGGCTGCGCCAACACATACACACAGACATGGTCCACCACTGTCACCATGAGGAAACCGGTGCAGATCAATGATGTGCAGCCATCCCTGGAGGGAGTGCATGTAGACAGGAAGTGGCCGGAGGAGATCAGAAGCAATGAGATGTAACATAGAATGAAAACAAGTATTGTATGAACGGTCATGGTAAGAGTTTATGATATGCAGTGGAATGTCATCCAGTTTGGGTTTAGATCTGCTCCCGTAGTCACGGAGATGCACCTTTAAGACTGGGCCACTTCCCTCTGTAGGGGACGGTCACATGGTGCTCTTGGTCAGGCTACACAGTATCAATTTATCTCCGGTATTGTTTAGAGAAGACAACGGGAGGAATTTGTTCCAGCAGAATGGTCACCATGTAATAACTCTGCTACACCAGGACCTGGACCCCGGCCAGGTACACACCCAGGCCGTATTCATGCAGTACAGAATGAGCTGCGGGCCATATCTGCAATGTTACCTCTCCGGTTATGAGGATCTGTGACTCAGAGGAATGTTATGTCACCACTCGGCAATATTACAATGAATAGAAACAGGCTGAGAAGAGTTAGAACCTCTGCTGGGTTTTTATTGCTGTCTGTGACCCCACTGGGGAGATTAACCCTCATCATGGCTGTCTGTGCCCCTGCTGAGGAGATTCACCTTCACTATCGCTGTCTGTGCCCCTACTGGGGAGATTAACCCTCATCATGGCTGTCTGTGCCCCTGCTGGAGAGATTCACCTTCACTATCACTGTCTGTGCCCCCACTGGGAGATTAACCCTCATCATGGCTGTCTGTGCCCCTGCTGGGGAGATTCACCTTCACTATCACTGTCTGTGCCCCCACTGGGGAGATTAACCCTCATCATGGCTGTCTGTGCCCCTGCTGGGGAGATTCACCTTCACTATCGCTGTTTGTGCCCCTGCTGAGGAGATTCACCTTCACTATCATTGTCTGTACCCCCGCTGGAGAGATTCACCTTGACTATCGCTGTTTGTGCCCCTGCTGGGGAGATTCATTCTTTCCATCACTGTCTGTGCCCCTGCTTGGGAGATTCACCTTCACTGTCTCTGTCTGTGCCCCTGCTGGGGAGATTCATTCTCTCCATCACTGTCTGTGCCCCTGCTGAGGAGATTCACCTTCACTATCACTGTCTGTGCCCCCCGCTGGAGAGATTCACCTTCACTATCGCTGTCTGTGCCCCTGCTTCAGAGGATTCAGTCTCTCCATCACTGTCTGGGGAGATTCACCCTCTCTATCACTGTCTGTGCCCGTGGTGAGGAGATTCCTTCACTATCAATAAACAATAAAGGTGATCAGCGCCAGTAAGTGTAATGTGGAAATAAGAGCTACCAAGCACTAGGGATACTGTATATCTAAATATTGTTTTTCACATTCCTTCACTATCGCTGTGACCCTGGTGAGGAGATTCACCTTCATTATCCCTGTATGTGCCCCTGTTGGGGAGATTCACATTCACTGTCTTTGTCTGTGCCCCTGCTGAGGAGATTCATCCTCTCTATCACTGTTTGTGCCCCACAGGGGAGATTCATCCTCTCTATTGCTGTCTGTGCCGCTGCTGGGGAGATTCCCCCTCTCTACCACTGTTTGTGCTCCTGCTGGGGAGATTCATCCTCTCCATCACTGTTTGTGCCCACACATGGGGGATTCACCCTCTCCATTGTCGTCTGTGCCCCCACTAGGGAGATTCATTGCATGGCATGAATGCATGGCATTTCACATGGCGGGTTTCCTGATGGTGACAACAGTGAACCATGGTCTGTGTAATGCGAGTTAAAATATCCACTTGTACTCACACAAAACCCCCTGAGACAAAGTGACAACACAGGAGCACAACTGGTAATCAAGGACAGAGCGTTGCCACCCTATAAGAGGAAGTGCCTGAAAAAGCACCTTGAAGGCAGGATCACCAGGGATGATTTGAATGAAAGTTGCAGCTTCCTAAATATTGAAACTGACATATGAAATATTTGGGGCTCTGAGGTGTCCTTCTTTCCCATCTCAGAAAGGCCGAGCAGCAGACCTATGAAAAAGCGGGCAGGGTAGATCTAGCCGGGGCGATTGTATGGAGCAAATTCTACAAAAGGTTTCTAAAGGTTTTGCACAAATTCTTAAAACGTATTTTCTTTTTTTTATATATATAGTATTTCCACCAATCACACGTCCGGCGCTCATGGCGAACGTCCAAACCATAAACAGGGTAACAATGGCGGTGATTTAATCGCAGTGCGGTGAGTCACTGAGGTGGATTTGGGCTCTACACCCACTGACCAAATACAATTCTGTGAGTGGAAGTCTGTGTACAGCGGCCGCGATAACACAAAGGGAGGCAGCTGCGGGATTCTCATTATTGAGGGCTTGTCACTCTCTTCTCACAGAAACTCCATCCTTAAAGGAGAACTATTGGGGTCAGTGTTTTCCCCATAGTTCTCCTAAGGGTCACAGGAGAACACAAACTGGCGTCCTCCCGTCACCCTAAGCTCAGCTCGCGGTACACTGAGACGCCGCAGCCGGGACGGACCCCGACATTACTGTCGAGATCCACCCAGCTGCGTGAGTGACAGCGGGCTCTGCCTATCTGAGTGACAATCACGGCTCTCTGCAGGGAGATGATTTGAGAAGTGAGCGAGCGACGGTATGTGTTCACTCACTTCCCGATCTACTGAGCCGACCTGTGACAGTGTCATTGTCACAGGTCGGCTAGAACTATGAGGTGAGTGATTTTTACTCGCCTCATAGCTCTCCTTTAAAGGACAACTCACTTTACTTAGTAACAGTTTGAACGGCAACATTCACTTTCAATCTGGAGCTGTCCCCTGGAATACGTCTTTTACAGCACTAGATCGCCTCAGTCTGATGGCCAGCATCATTCAACCCACCTCCTCTGAGCCCAGGTCGACCCAGACCCAACCCCCAGCCTGTGAACGGGCAGGGAAAGGAGAAGCAGAGCACAGCTCTTCTCTCTGTCACTTCGCTCTCCCCCTCCTATCAGCATATGAACTGATTGGCTCCTTGTGCTGCTTCTTCCTTTCACACTCCAGCTCTGCTGTTCTGGGACTGCATGAGGCTGATACCAGGTCACATTCAGTTACTAACACTGCTTACACTTAACAAAAAGACATTTAGAGACAAGCTGTGAAATACTAGATTGGGTGAAGAGGGGAAGGGG